AGGGTGGGATATGGAGCAAGAAATGAGTGGGGAAAACTATCTGCTTGATGGGGCTTAGAGGGATCAGTTTGATGTGAAATCTGTCAAAATGAAGCGTGGGGACATCTGGGGAGCTCAAAGACCCTAATAGGGTGAGTGGGGGCTGCTCTGCTGCAGGACTTAACCCAAGATAGGAGAGGATTCAGAGTGGTCTTTCCTTCGAGGAGTGGATGGTGGGGAATGCTGCTGGTGAGCTAACTGGGCAGCACCAGCTGCGCCTGGAAGTCTGTGAGCCTGATGAGGCCTGACCATCTTTTGGTGCACTGTGGGAACTCAGTTATCTGGAGATAGAGATGGGGATTGTGCAGCTAGGCTCATACAGGATGGAGCTCCACTTATGGCTACAGGGAATGTGATTGATGAGGGTGGATGGGGAAGGGCTGGGCGGTTAAACTGGTTGCAGTTTCAGGTAGCACCTGATCTGGCTGCTAGGTATGCTACTTTGCTCCATCCTGCTCTTATCTGCATTCTCCCATTGCTGCCTTTGATCCAGTGATGGACAGCCAAGTAGTAGAGCAGGAAGGCATCTCTGGTGATTGAAGTGAACCTTTGACGTGGAGAGGGATTGTCTGTATTACCCATGGTGTTGTGGCAGGCCCTGAGTTAGAATGACTTGAATCCAAGCTGATGAGTTGCCCTGTCTCTGAATCTGTCCTCGCCGGTTTGCCCATTCCAAGGAATTTCCTATGCGAGGTAAATGCGCATGTGTGTTGTGTTCACTTAGAAAAATAGCTGTGACTATCACAGTAATTGTTCACATTTGCACAGTAGTGTAGGTTTAGAAATAATCCTGCTTTTAGGTGCAGTTGGGGCTGGCTGGCAAATGCCTGTGCTGGTGCCCAGTTTGGATCTGAATTATTTGCATTGTTCAAGTGGGATCAAATCCGTGCTTTTTCTTTATTCAGTTTGGCATAGGCTTTTCAAGCCTCAGTGATAGAGGTCACCTTGCAGGAGTAGCTGAGCTACCAAGTGATATCTTTGTTGTGAGGAAGCTGTTTTGGCTAGGTGACGATCTTGCAGGAGCAGAGTATAAAAGAGGAAAGTCCGCTTATCTCTGCCTGGTACAGGAATGCAGGAGATAGATAACATTGTGTTGTTCTTCCAAAACAGATATTTGAGAGCTACTTAAATACAGCGCTGTAAAGAAGTGTTTTGCTCAGCCCAGCTCTTCCCAGCTTCTCTATCTGGGCTGCTACTTGGCTCTTCAGGTGTCTCCTCCCAGTAGGGTTCAGAAATAACATCCTGCTCTTTTGCATTGCAATGTGGCATGATGCTTCGGGCCTCACTACAGACCCTTCTAGGAGCAAAAGATACACTGGAGGTTGAGATCTCCTTGCACCTTGTGAGCTGACAAGACACTCCTCTCCCACTCAGCATTTGCAGAGCTACCTTCTCTGGCGTCTGTGTAAGGAGGGGAGTCCTGCTCTTTGCCAGCCCACTGGAAAAAGTTCTCTGAGACTTGGATGGGAGATGTTGAGAAAACCATGCTTTCTCCCTTTGTCTGGCCACAGCCATTTCCTGCCCAGCTGTGCCTTTATTTTGATGCTCTCTGCTCTCCCGGCTGAGAGGAAGGAGCCGAGCTGCATCTCTTCCCTCTAGCCAGTCCAAAATGACGCAAAATGGAAGTCTGTCCAGAGTGTCTCTGCAGGAAGAAATATGGTATTGTGTCTAACAGAAGGGACAGCAGAGGGGCTCAAGAAGCACGAGAAGGGAAATAGATGAACCAACCAGAAGATGGAAGAAGGAGGAGGAGGAGAAAATGTGACTGGAGCAGCTGCTACTTTAAGAGAAAAGCAGGGAAAATGACTGTAGCTATAGACCGAGGCCTCTTCTATCTTGCTGCAGTAGCTGAGCAAAGAGCCTGGACCAGGACTGTTGATGGAAATGGGCCTTCAGTGGCCTGTGACTGGTTCCTATGCCACCTTGACATCAGTGGAAGGATATATCTGGGCAGGCTGGATGAAGGCAATCTGCACTGAGGACCTGTTGGGGGACAAGTATCTTTGTAGTCCCTTCAGTACCTATACACCCACTTATACAACACATTCAGTGTTGGACCTGAATTTATACGTACAAAGCATATGGTGTGTTGGCAGCTCTGATGGAGAACTTCTGGGAGTGCTGCTCTCTTCCGCCTGTGAACATCTTCTTGCAGGCTCCAGAGTTTGCGCGGCCTAATAGCTGAGATCTGTCAGAGCCCTGGCTATGCTGTTCTCGTTAACAGCCAGCTGGAAGTTGGTCTCCTGCTGAGGAACCACAACTTATCTGCTTCAGGGCTTGTGGCATACAAACTGTACATACAGAGACTGGGAAGTGGACTCGGTCTCTGCAGGGGTTTGGGACAATTCCTGTACACAGGCCTGTAGCTTTATGGGCATGCAGGATGTCGCTTCCCTCTGCAGCCACCCTCATTCCAAGAGTGCTCTTGGAGATGCCCTCTGCATGTGTCGGTACTTCTTTTGGGTCACAGGAGGAGTTTTCAGCACTCAAATGAAACTCTTGCCAGTTCTTATATCAAGCCTCCAGAATTCTTCTGTATGCTGCTTTCTGTTGTATGTGGCTTTGCTGCAAAGGAAAGAATTGAATAACAAGATACAGATTTCCTGGTTGCAATTCTAAACGTCTTTCGTCCTTCTAAGGACTTTCACCGGGCCTTTTCTTCGGACCGGTGCTGCCTCTGTGTCTTACAGTCACCTAAAATGAACCTTCTATGTTCAGTGACCCTCAGTACAGTGTATGCAAATCCCAGCCCTGGGTGTACTCAGCATGCCTTTGGATCTTTGATGGTCGCATTTTGAACAGTCTATTCAGTGGAGGAGAAGGCATTGCATAAGTTCAAGCTTTTACAGGCCCTTTCCACCAGAATAATTTGAAGACAACAAAACAAGACTATTTTTTGAACGTCTCATCATGTTCGCTGTAGAAACTGTTGCTTTCATATACCTTTCCTTTCCCGCCTTTTACCTAAGTGATCGGTGCTGTCTTCCTTACCATGACAGTTATCCCAGACTCTACCTGTTTATTTCTGTCCTCTTTTCCCCATCTTGAGTACCTCCTGGGCAGTACCTCTTGGAGCTAACTCCATTTCTGTGTTATTGTGAGGCCCTGTGGATAATTCTGGGGCACTGCTTTAGCTTAGACACCACTCCTTTACCTGCACAGGACTGTGCAGAGTTTCTGTCTTGAGCTTTGGTTGTATTAAAGCTCCTGCTCCTGAGCAGGTTCTTGAGTTGCCCCGAGTTTCAAAGGCATTTCATTTTCTCAAAACCCCTGCTTAATTTCTCTGGCGAAGGTGTGAGCTTCTTCAGTTGTAAGTCATAGGGTTTCAGTATGGTGTGAGGGCACCATGTCCTTGGTGCCCTCCACCTTCCTCACAGGGGAGTCCATGCTAGAGGTTGACTGGAGTCCTTGTTTTTTCCCCATACATGTAGAGAGCTTGGATCCATGTTGTTGTTTCCTTGGCTGCACTTCTCTGTGCTACCCAAAGGGATGGATATGTTGCTCCCAGGCCTTTTGGTGTCTAGGAGCAACTGGATGAACTTCCAGAGTCCCTCAGAACATGGTCTTGTCCCATCAGGCACGGGATATGCATTTCTCATACCCTGGAAATTCACACCCTGCCCTTGGTCTGCAGGTAAGTCATGTAAATCTCCTCGTGCTGTGGCCACATCATTGCTTAAGTAACATATTTTGGGATTTTACGTGTAATAGTTTGTGTGGATCACAGATCTTTCTCTCTAGGCAAAGTCCCAGGTGGATTCATAGGCAGTGGCTTGCGTGTGCGAAGATACTGAGACATTTCTGTTCAAGTACTCTCCCAGTCTTGAACAGGGCCTTTGCAGCACACTCATGCTTTCTGCATTTTGTTTTCACCCACTTGCCTGAATTTCATCTGAGCATGACTATTTTATTCTTATTTTGCTTACATGAATCCTAGGACTGCTGATTGACAGGGGTCTCTAGTCCCCAGTCCAGGCTCCTGCTTAGAGCTGGATCAGGGAGGCTGTGGCATTGTCTAGCCAAGTGATGGGGATGTCAGTGGAGATTTCCAGGGATTGGGACTTCCACTCTTGCCCCACTCCTGCCCTGGTGACCTATTTTAGAGCTGCACCACACACCTCCCAAACAAGTTTTTCCTAATATCCACGTCTGCTTTGTTTTGGATCAACCTCTCCCCTTATACCAGATGCAATCTGCTGAGGCCGCACCTATTCAAATGGGTTTTCTTCATATTCCTTCCAATATTTTTTCTTTTAATGCTGAGCTTTCTACTCTGACTGGAGTGGTATTGTCAGAGGGACACTGTTCCACTGGGACTGTCTTTGCCAATTGTCTGGAATTTCTGGTCATATCCTACCCTCCTATCCTTTAGGAGATTTGTAGGTGTTTTGAAGTCCGTTCCTGTGACAGCTTAGCCTTAACTTTACAAATTGAGATGAGAGAGAGTTATCTATTCCTACGTTTACTCCAAACATGTGCATTTAATTCCTTTTATGCTTGCTTACCATTGAAATGTTACAGGTAGTCTGCATGGGACCTCAGCATCCTGCAGTTTGTTCCTGCTCTTCTTATGAATGATATCGCCAAAATGAAGTTTTTCTTTACATGTGGTGACTGCTTTCTGAATTGAGATGCCTGTTGCAGAGAACCCTAGTACCTCCAGAACATAAACTCTCTCCTACCTGAAGAGTGGCTTAGCTAGACGTTCCTTGGAGCCAGGCAAAAATTTCCTGTTGGAAAACTTGTGCTCCTGCTGTTAGAAGTCACTTGCTTCACCCAAACAATATGGTGACTTTTTTCAGTGTGAGTAAACTTAACTACGATATGAGCATGAAGCTGTTTGGAAGCTGTGCACCTCTGGGGCTGTCTGGGAAGATAGCCAGTTTCCTTTTGGCTGTGAACATCCATCCATCTAAGATTGATTTCCCAAGATCACTGCTTTCTTTTTGGAATAACCTTGCATTTCTTTGTCTTTGTTTGGGGTAGGTAGCGGTCACTGTATCAGAGATCTTTTGCACCTAACGATTTCTGCACAAGAGATGTAATCAATTTATGGAAGAATGAAGGGTTAACACAGGTAAAACATGCCCGGGTGAAAATGAGTGACAAAAGGCAGTGTAAAAGCAACCTGTGATGTGCCTGGAGTGATTTTTTTTGCAGGTACGAGTATTTGTTCAAGGTAGGGTTTGCTCAGAGCTGTCCTAGAGCGTTGGGAGGAAGACAGGACTTGTATTATTCAGTCCAACATCTTCCAGTGCAATGTGGGATGTGAGCTTGATGGATCTTTGGTTGTTGGGTGCCTGTAAATCTTCTTTTCAGCTCCCCAGGATGAAGAAATAGAGATTCGTAGGGTTTAATAGCCAGCCTCCTCTTGGGGGAAAGGCAGTGTCAATTTGAAATGTTGTGCCAGAAACACGGACATTTTGCTTTCGAACTGCTTAGTCTCCTTCTTGTCAAGTGGAGCTGAATGATGATGCTGTATCTGGCTTTCTGCCACTATATGTAGATTTTTCTGCAAGAGCTTATCCGTATGAGGGAGTGGTGTGAGATACTGCCTGACTGGGTTTCCTGTCAAACTGGAGTATCACTTTTTCAGATCCAGCATCACTAATAGTACTGTTCACCAAGTGCACTTCAGATGGACCAATATGGGGCAAAACCAAGCACTGTCCTAGTCTTTGCCCTTCCTCCCAACCGATTCTGTGAGGTGGTGTTTCACGTAACTTTTTTGCCCGTTCTGCACATCCTTTCCTTTGGGCAGTGTGGTCACATCACAGTGCCTTCCATGCAGCTCTCACTGTTTGAGTCTTATGGGAAGAGTGAGAGTTAATAGTCTGAATTACCTTTTCTGTCCAACACTGATGGTTTCCGATTTGAAATCAGTGGTGTCAATTCCATAAAGCTTCCGTGTTCCTTGGGAAGTGATTCTTGTGTTAAGCGTATTTTGTGTATCTCATTTAATTACCATTTAAAGCGCTGTTTGTCAGAGGGCTGTGGTGTGATTATAAACCAGACATGCAGAATGTCATTATTAGTGGGGAAAAAACACAGATGACTGTAACTACTCGTATGATTTGTTGAACTTCTTTTTTCTCTTCATATGAACAAAATTTAGACTCCTCTTTGGGCCTAAGCCACCTGAGGGCTCAGTGAAATGTATGTCCAGACTGGCTTGTTCATTCAGCATCTCTCAGCCTTTCCTCCCCCGAGGCATTTTATCTTTTATGCTGCTTCAGCTCTATGGCAGGAGAGCTCTTCCTCATCTTAAGCTTGTTGCCATATGGCCCTGTCCCAGTGATGCGGACTGCTGGCGCGTGTCCCAGCTGGGAGCAGCAGGTGGGCAATGGACAGAGCTGTCTTCTTTCCCTTTTGCTCTCATCTCTGCAAGATGAACAGCAACGGGTGCACAGACAGAGGTCCGGTAGGAAGGGAGAAGATGAGAAGGGGAGAACGTGGGTGGTGACAAGAGAGCAGGGATGAGAGGAGGGTGAGCCCGTGCAGGGCAGAGGGGAACGAAGGTCTGTGAGCAATGCTTGGCCACCGGTGCCCGGGCTGACCTTGGGAAGGGCAAGGTGGTCCTCACAGTGCCGTGCTTGTGCCTCCCCCTCGCAGATGTCCTGGCACCCCCTGTACCGCAGCTCCAAGTTCCGGCACGTCTACGGCAAGGCCGCCAGCAAGGACAAATGCTACGACTGCGTGCCCATCACCCTCAGCGTCCACGACAACCACTTCTGCGCTGTCAACCCCCACTTCATCGCGGTGGTGACCGAGTGCGCTGGAGGTGGGGCCTTCCTCGTGATCCCCGTTCATCAGGTGAGTGTGGCGCACGGGGTCTGGCTGCCTTGAGCAGACCGCGGTGTTGAGGGGAGCTGGGCTTTGCATACGTGTGTAGATCCCAAAGAGGGTATTTGGCTAATGCCCTCACCTGAATTGCAAAATGCATGGAACGGACCTCAGGTTCCCGGCACGTGCTTCTTACCCACATATCTTACATAGCTGCTTATGGGTTTTGAACAACTACTTTCACTTTGTATCTGAACTTCCCTCGTATAATTGGTAGGAATTGTGTTGTTCCGATGTTTGACTCCTAGGAGAAATTACAAATCAAAAAGCAATTATTAGATGCAGAGGGCAAAAACCGAAAAGGTGCTTTAGTTGCATGGCTCCAGCTGTCACCAAAGGCAAATACTGTGTGTTTTGTTCTGACTACCTTCTGCTTGGTGAAAGAACAGAAGAGACGCAGTTGTCAGACAATGAAGCTCTTAAGCTGCAAGCACTGATGATGGAAAAACTTCCCCTTTCAGAAATAAATACCGTGCTTGTGGGTTATGATAACTTAGGGATCTTGGGAAAGGGAGAAGCTGGTTCTCTGATATTTATTGCTTCTGAAAGTTTAAGAAGCGTGCACTAAAGTAGATTAGCTTCAGTATAAGATTATGAGCTCCCTGGAATCAGGGCAGAACAGATGAAAGGCAAAAGTTCAGTCTTTAATTAAAAGTTAATTGATGGTGTTATTGTAATGCTTCTTTTTCAGTATATATTTGCTAAGGATGAAAGCGAACTGGCTATGCTTGAAGAACCTAGTACAGTTCCCAGCCCTTCTAGACTTTTGTTTATTCAGCTCATTCACTACTGGTGCTGTTCAGAGACGTTCTCTCTGAAATTAACCACTACCCTGTTTTGCTTGACTGAGTCACTTCTGCCCCCTCGACCGCGATCTGCTGAGGCTGAAGAACTTGTCTTTATCATAGAGCTGCATCTATGTGCAGGCAGCTGGTGACTGTGGGACGTAGGGTGGGACCCAGCTCTCAAAGTGTTAGCAAAGTGAACTGAGGATGCTTGCACTGCTTGCTCTTAGTTCTTCTGTCTTCTCACCTCTTCTCAGCTCAGCTCTTCTTTAGTAACTATTTTTCCATTATTAACACCTGCTTAAGTACTCCCCCCAGATCCGGAATGCTGCTTGCAGAAGTCAAAGGCATATTACAACTAAAAAAGGTACAGAAAAGAATAAGTAAAATACATACATGAAAATGTGAAATTGCTTTCATGTGAGTAGAGTCTTTGGAGGTCAGGTCTCATCAGGCTGGGAAAAAAAGACAAATGAGGGCGCTGGTGTGCAGCCCAGTCTGGAGATATGTGACTGAGATACCATTGCGTTCCTGTAATTAGCAGCTGATCCGTGGTAGTTTCTGACTGGATTTCCAGGGAACAGCCACATCCCAAATATGCTGCAGTATGGAGGAAAAGCCTGAGAGCCAGGGATTTAACATTCAGCTGAAGCAAGCCAGGGTTTTAACCCTTACAAATGGTTGCACCTTTGCGGGGCATCCCACACACATCGAACGTGAGTGCTGCTATTCACGCTGATTCCAGCCCTCGCCAGCCACTGCAAGCCGAGGGCCCGCTTGTGGCAGAAAACACGTATTCCACATAAGCACCAGTCACTTGCTTCCTCTGGAGCAAGGGAATAAGCTGGTGGTCAGGACAGGGAGGTCCGTATTATAATGCATGCTCCAGGAGTGATGAACAACTGCTTGGACAGACTGTTCTCGCTGCTCTGATGTCTTTCCGTGTCCATTTTGTACGTGCTTGCGGAGGGGCTGCCCGCCTCCAGATGTGCTCGAGTGCAGGCTGAACTTTGCTCTGTTTAACACTGCCTCCCTGCTTGTTTGTCGTGTTCCTCTCCTGCTGAGTCATGGAAATCGAGCGCTCTTGTTCCTCCTTGAAGAGATGTGGTTTCTTGCCTTCTGCACCATTCTTCCTCTCTTTCTGAGAGCTGCAGTATGGGGTTGGGGTGGGGATCAGCAGGGCTCCGCACAAGGAAAAGGTGTCTCTGTTGTAGATACTTTCTTTTCAGCAGGCCTAAATGTGCACACGTTTGCATTCAGACCAAAGTGCAATTAGCCGAGAACTGCTTGGTAAATGGTCTCCTGCTGCAGGAAAAGTCAGTTATGTCCTCCGGAAGAATGTGCCATTGAAGGGGACTGGGTGGAACGGCAGTGTTTCTGACCAGGACAGGCTGCGGGCGCAGCAGCTGTCTGGTGCCCAGAACAGACTGAACACATTTATAAATCTTCTGAGTCCTAAGACGCACAGGCTAAGGGAGCCTAACTGGGGGAGGAGCTACTTTCCCACATCGTGGCCTTCTGGGTGTAGATTAGCGACTGATAGGCATGCTTGGGGATGTGCATGCAGCACATGCCAAGCAAGGAAAGATCTTGACTCAGAGGAGAATTCTGTGGCCTTCCTCTGAAAGAAGATGGCCTTCTGTTTTCCTTCTCCCGTGAGCAGACTTGTTTGGTACTGCTTTGAAGAGTAAGACAAAGGGACAGCAAAACGAGAGGAAAGTCCTGAAAGATGGGGAGATATATGTGACCGAATCCTTGCTCCCTTCTCTCAGAGGGTAATGACTGTAAAACAAAACCTACGATGACCCCTCGGGCTCTACCTAACTGAGCTGATTTGTGAATGCTGGGTACGGAGCCAGACTCTTCTCAGTGGTGCCCGGTGACAATGGGCACAAACTGAAACACAGGTAATTCTGACTGAGCCTAAGCAAACACTTTTTCACTGCAAAGGTGGTTGAACCCTGGAACAGGTTGCCTAGAAATGATGTGGAGTCTCCATCCTTAGAGATGTTCAAAACCCGACTGGGCACAGCCCTAGGCAGCCTGCTGTCAGGGACCCTGTTTGAGAAGAGGAGTTGGACCAGGTGATCTCTAGAGGTGCCTGCCAGTCTCAGCTACTATATGATTCTGTGACAAGGGCTGTTAGCGCCCTTTGGAGAACATCTGAGAACTGAGGATGACTTATCGCATGATAATCTACCCCATATAGATAATCTTTCCCATATATTCTGGAAAACTTTAGCAGCTGTCCCAAATGGAGTGGTTTTCATCAAAAACTCCGTTTTTGGCTACCATATCTTCTACTTTTCAAAAATGCTCTGAGCTTAGAAAACAAGCGATTGAAAAATTAAACTTGTTCTCCAGCTCTGCAGATAACCCTGAAATGTCAGGTACCCCTGCCTGAAGAATAGCACATCTGCTTGGTAAAATAGTTTTGGCGTTATGGAATGATATTTCCCCCAGCACATGGAGAGCTTGGTTTCTACATGCAGATATGCATCTGAGACCAACAGTATCTGTCATACATGTTTGTGAGCAGTTTTTTCCTGTGGGCTCTGCTGTGTCCCAAGGCCACTGGGTTACACTGCATCAGGTGGAAGTGGCAGGTGGGACTGCAACTCTCCTTTTCTTGGGGTTGGCGGAGCCTGCTGTGGCTGTAGGGGTAGGAGAGGATGGGGCAGGCAGACAGGGCTCAGCAGGGTGGGAGGGTGCAGCAGAGCAGCCTGAGAGTCCGTTGGATGGATGGGGCAGGGAGGAGATCCAGCGCCAGGTCTGCGAGGTGACATTGTTCCCATGGGGATCAAGGGATCCAGCAGAGGTAGCTGCCTAGCCCATTGACTTGCCAGGTTGAAACCAAGCCCTGAAGCAAGAACTTGCCAGCAAAAGGACACAGCGGGTAGGGGAACCTTGATTATCAAAGCCCTTTTATCTTTCTTCTGTCTTCTCCAGTCACTTTGTATTGTCCCTGTTATAAAGGTGATTTTTTTTAGACTGTAGTCTGAAAAAACACAGTCTTTTACATTTCAAAGCCCTCTGGCTCTCCAGTTAAAAAGCACGTTAGTCCTGGTCTGTGCAGCAAACTTTCCAGTAGAGCCAGAATTGTTATACATCGTGTTCTGTTCAACACTCAAAACCTTCCAGTTGGCAGGAGTTCAAGGCTGGGAATGAAATCCTAGCCTCGTTCAGGTTCGGCTCAACACTGATTTCCCTCCCTTTGTAAGGCCTATCTCTAGAGAGGTATGGGGAGTACAGTCGCAGAAGTCCCTGCTTTCCTGAAGAGGCTGTAAGTTGTGTTTATTTTGGTTTGTGGTTCTTCTAGGTAGGATAAAAGTAGAGAGGCCACCCTGACCAGCTTGCCTAGTCCTGGGGTGACTGACCTTTGCTCTTGGACACGAGTCTGGGGAGAGAAGGTGTTTCTTGGCGCCCCCAACGACCTCCTCCTGCTCCTGCTAGGAAGAAGCAAGTGCTTTTCCAAAGTTAACCAGATCCTCAGCACTCTTTCTAAAATGTAATCCATCTACGGACTTTACTCTATAACAAAGACTTAATGGGAGCTGGGCTGTTTGCAGTCGAGTTTATCCTGATTCAACACAGCCCCCAAGTGGTGCAAGGTTCTCACTACTCCATAATGCACTTTAAGGATGATTTTTTTATCCATTGATGTGCTGCCCAAATCTAGCATTTTTTTTGAGGGTCCTGAATGCGGATGGAATCTGGTGAGTAACAGGATTTGAAAAGCATCAAGCATGAAACAGTTAGGTTGCTGAGAGAAAAACTGGGTTTGTAATTTGTGTTTCAAAATGTCATTCTGCTTAAAAATAAAATAAATGCTAGTTGAGGAGGTTCAAAAAGGCCAAGTGAAAAACAATTTTTTGTCGTGCTCTTAAGAAATGTGTTATCAAGAAGGAAATAAGAGATTTTCATTTTTTTCCCCCACAAAATCTTTAAAAAATGTGGAGGATTCAAGACTTTCCTAAGTATTTCCCTTCTAAGTTTCCATTTGGTATCTGAACGAAATAATATCTTCTTCCCTCAGCAGTCTGCACTGCTGCATCTATACAGATTTCTTAATAGCTGTGTGTGTTTAGAAGGGCCTGAGCAGCACCTTTCTTATCAGTGATATCATCAAGACTTGCCTTTCAGGGACAGCGAAACCGATGTTCAACAGACAGGGATCACCCGGGGCGTTTGGGACATACAAAGCAGAAAGAGGTTTCCCTCTGGAGCCAGAGCCAGCTCAGGTGTGACTTGAAAATGTCCCGTAATTTCACGCTTCACCTTGGGTTTGATGATATTTGTCTTTTCCAGACGGGCAAGCTCGACCCACATTATCCCAGAATATGTGGGCACAAAGGGAATGTTCTGGACATCAAGTGGAACCCGTTCAATGACTTCGTAATAGCTTCATGTTCAGAAGATGCCACTGTAAGCTTTGCAGTTTATATTCTTTGTTATTACCTGGATAATGTGCTTTTGGGGGAAAGAAATAAAAGAGAAACCTAAAGGCCCAAGCAAGAAACTTGGAAACGCGCACAGACTTAAAAGAAAGTCAGTTTCTGTCTTTCTCTTGAAGTGACAACCCTTTCAGATGATGCCATAATGAATACTAAAATCAGTGGGAGGAGGAAGATCTGTTTTTGTTGGGGCTTCAGTCTTTTTGGGTGTATTTTCATGAGAAAGATGGCATGTGAATCTATAATGGAGAAACAGAGGAGTTCTGAGCTCTTCTACCATGTAGTGTGGGCAGGATGACTTCTGCTTTATTTCAGATTTCCTATTCCTGTTCAAATTTTGTGAGGAAACAAGGTGAAAAAGCGGAGGTGACGTGGTTTGGTGTCTGTAAAATCTGTGGCTTAGTTCATCCCCTTCAGGATAGCTTTTTTGTGATTTGCTGAACTGCAAGTGTGATTTTGTGAGCTGCTGGTCCAGAGGCAAGGGTTTGATTGCTGAGCTAAAAGAAGGTGGTGGAACTGCTGCCTAGAGATGGAGGGTATAGAGGAGTCTTCAGGCCCGTGTAAATTCTGATATTTTTTCAATAAAGAACGTTTGTCCTCTACCAAAAGGATGACTTGTTATTAGTAAGTCCCAAGTAAGTTCCTTTCTCAGGGATCTCACAGAGACCCATCTTATGCCATTCAGATTAAAATCTGGGACATCCCCAAGCACTTGCTAACAAAAAACATCACCAGTCCGAAGAAGGAACTTCTTGGGCACGTGCGAAGAGTAGGCCTCATTGAGTGGCATCCCACTGCCAGTAATATCCTCTTCAGCTCCGGCTATGACTACAAGGTAGGTCTCTTCTTTGTGGAGCCCTCCCCTCTGGGTTTGGCTCTGTGTGCAGGTGAGTGGGGAGTCACAGCGTCTGTCCGAAGGAAGATGGTGTCCTATGTTCCTTGTAGTCTTCTACTTCCCTTTTGTAAGAAGGTCCCCTCAGATGAGTCCCTGTACTCCTGTACCAGATGGGTATAGTTCCTGTGCCAGATGTTCTCCTGCAGCAGACAAAGGATGAAGGCAGTGTGGGAACTCTCATAAAGTTTTCTGCTCTTCACTTGACTGCAGACAGTTCCCAGGAGGGAGGGATCGATTCGTCTCTGAGTAGTTGCAACCTGCTCTCTGTGCTGTGCCACGCTGGGAGATGTCATTCCCAGGAGACCCTGTTGCACTCATTACATGGGACAAAGCGTGCTGAGAAGTTTGTGGTTTGATTAAACAAATCTTTCCAGATGGTAAGATAGTGAGAAAATTCTGTCCAGGACAAGGCATAGGCTGTTCTGTTTGGCAAGGTGTTTTGAATTTTTTTTTTTTTTAATTTCAAGCTGTAAGAGAATTCTAAAAAGTACAGAAGCCTGGAATTTCTCAGGGAGAAATTCCATAAGTGATCTCGGTGGCGAAGGGACACTGTGACAAGTTCCCGAAAGGCTTGCTAATTTTCCAGTCTTCTGATGAACTTCAGTCTAGCCTGCTCTTCTTTAATGGGGCAATATCCAAGGCCATGCACTTTCCTGTGGCTTTGTTCTTGTGTTCATGTAAATATCTGCACTGATACTGGCCATTTTTCTATATAAAATCTGGTCGCAAAGGACATGAGATTATTAGACCTGCTGGGCAGATGCCATGTCCCTAATATATTGCTGTAAGGTACCAGGAATGATTGAAAATGCTGGAGAACAACCATTCATACATGACCCGTACATGTAGAAAAGAGGGTACATGAAATTCCTACTTGTTCAGTTAGCAAAGGGCTGATTGTTTGTTCCTTTGCCCCAGATAATGATCTGGAACCTCGACACCAAGGAGGCTGTCCTCTCGAACCCGGTGAAGATCCTCGACGCTCACAAAGATGTGATCCTCTCCATGTCGTTCAACACAGACGGCAGTCTCCTTGCCACGGCCTGCCGGGACAGAAATATACGTCTGATAGACCCTCGTGCAGGAGTAATCCTACAAGTAGGTTGGATTCAGAGGTTTGTGGTCCAACTTATCTCACTTGGGGTGTGTTTCCTCTTCTGCGTAGGCTCACTGCCATTAATAAAGACACATCTGTGACTAGCATTGCTCAAGGCACCAGATGGTGGTATTGCCTTCCACTTCATAAGACACTTGCTGCCACTGTTGAAAACAGGGTTTCTGCCTCCTGCTACCAAACCCTTTGCTCTCTGAAACCCTTCTTGAAGTGCACTGTTTTAATAGCTCTCTGCTGCAGTGCTCCAGATACTTCTGTGGGATGCCTTGGGATGGCTGGGTAGAGATCAGGTGGACAGGTGGATGCAAGTGTGTGTTTGTCCTGCTGCCAGGGTTTTTGGTATTTTCTGTACTTTGTGTCTGCTGGTAAGCTGCACATGATTACTTTTGTAGGTATTTGCACAGATCTGTGTACTGAGAGAGTCCTAACTGGGATTGCCCTCTTGTAAATCACTAGTTAGAGAGAATGACTGGGTTTTTTGGAAAGTCTCTGAAGAGTTTAAGCCACCTTTCTCAGATCCTCGTGAAATCTTGCTCACTAGTTGAACTAGGCTGAGCAGACCATCTGGATGTGACCAAAGTTTAGAGCTGTCGCGTAACATGAAATGTACCTTTACAAAGATGGCCCAGTGTGCCTTAGCCGTCCCCGATAAGCTTCATGAATGGTGGAAAGTGGTTTCTTGCCATGGTATGATTTCTCATGCAATTTTTTACTGCAGGAAGGGAACATACTTTCTTGTATTCAGGTGATGTGCCTTGTCTCTCTATAGGAAGCCAGCTACAAGTCTCACAGAGTCAATAAAGTCTTGTTTCTTGGAAACATGAAAAAGCTGCTCTCTACTGGAACATCTCGGTGGAATAATAGGCAGATTGCATTATGGGATCAAGTGAGTTGGACGAGCAATCCTAACTTAACCAGTTTCAGTTTTCTCTCTTTTGCTGTCACTTTAACTTTTCTACCTGCCAAATACCCAAGAATTGGTCTATAAAAGCAATTCAGAAGGGGCCTGTTGAACACTTAAGGGGGATAGATTTTACTGCTACGATGCTCAAAACTTTAAGCCTAGAAATCCACTGCAGCAAAGAGAATGCTGTGCTAACTACAGGAAGAAATGATTCAAAGGACTTTTGGGTGATCAGTGTAGTTCTCAGTTAAAAGCAGGCATTTGTCATTGGCACTGGGAAAGAAATGAGCTCTGGAGACAGCCTACTCAGGTGACGACCTGAAGGGAGGAGGAGATCTGTTTATTTCTGATGATTCTTTACACCAGAATAGTGGGTAGCTCTTAACAGCCACCTGCAGGACATGATCTCTTATCATGATGGCTGCTAAACCAATGAGACCCTGCTGTCCTCTACTAGCTCTGAAGTTTCATAGGCGGTGAAAGTCTTTCCCTGTGTCACTATCTCACTTTGTCCCTTTGTGTCAGCTGCGCTGCAGCACAGTCTTCTGTCTCTTTGCTGCACAGGTGTCCTTTGTACTAGACAAAGCTGGTAGACCAGGTCTCTGATTTGCTCTTGGGCTGTGCTTGGACATACCATGTCTGCGGAGGTGAGAGGCAGTGGCACTGTGCTGCTGTCTGAAGGCTTTCTCTAAAGCTGAGCAGTGCTCTGGCACAAGGATCTCGCATCAGGGTCTCGCTACCTTCAGAGCTGCCAAGGGAGCTCGCCTCTCTTAGTTAGTTAATTAGTTTGAAAGCGTAGTGGGAAGGCCGGTGAGCCTCCTTAGAGACAGGCACTGGCGCGGTACTTGCCCAGCAGGCACCTGCCTGAGGACCACATCTGCCCATGTCATTGTCACATCTAAACAGAAGCTCTGGCTATCTGCAGTCTGTGGCTGGGCGGTTCTGCAGAACAAAGTATGTGTTAAGCCTGCACTCGACGCATATTTATGTGACATTGGCCAGACTTGTCTTTGAGTTGCTGTGCTCTGCCCTGTTGGTCTTCCCTGCATTGCTCCCTTCAGCAGTGCAGGGCTAGCTTTGCACAAGACTTGCCAGCCTTGAGTATGCAGCAGGGACACCATCTTCTTACCAGCTCTACCCACATAAGGTCTGTGGTGGCTTTTCCCCTTGCAATGGGTGTCTTCCCATTACATAGTGTGGAGGCCTCTCAGCTAGTGGAGACCACTGTTGCTCTTAGGGTGGATGGTGTGCTATTGTGGAGGTATTAGAGATGATGAGGGAATTTGACATTCAGCGTGCAACGCACACATATCCTGAAGGCCTCTCCATGTGAGAGTGCTGGCCCGTATGGCCTTCGTGTAGAAGCCACCTTTCTCATTGCATCTACCCCTGAAATGTCACCAGGTGCCTGAGATTTTGAGGCAGAAACTGACGTCCTCTGTCAAGAGTCAGGGGAGCAGCAGGGAGCCAGGGACAGAGCAACCTATCTCCCACCTCCAGAGGCGTGCAGAAGTCTGCATGGCACTCTGCTCAGGACAACTGTCTATGGCTTGGGGTCATCACATCTGCTCCTCCGATGGGCGTTCATGTCATATGCCTGATTTGAGGTCACGGGCACGCAATTCCAGCGGTTTGTTTTTCCTGTGTCCTGCCCAGAATGACCTTTCTGTGCCTTTAATGGAGGAGGATCTGGATGGCTCCTCGGGGATCCTGTTTCCTTTCTACGACTCAGACACACACATGCTTTACGTTGTGGGAAAGGTAAGTACAGGCCAGTGAATGCTGGCCTGTCCGATTCTTCTCTCAGCCTCCATTGCGTCACCCAGCTCACTCAGGGTGAAGTCAAAGGTGCTCCTGAGGCAATTTAACCTAAGGTGAAGGGTGGATGGGATGGGGCCTGAGGGTCCTACAGAATCAGGCCACATATTCTACTGCAGGCATGCCATGTTTACCACGGGGGGGTACACCGTAGAGCCCCAACTTCCCCGCATAGGAGTTTGGAGGTAAATATTTTGGCAGGAAGCACTCCCGTTTATGACCTTGCATAGCTTTTGGGGCCAGGGACTCTTCTCAGACCCTCGTGCCGAGCAGCAGAGCCTAGCTTATGATGTGCGTTCTTTTTGCGCTTAGGGTGATGGAAATATACGGTACTATGAGATAAGCCCTGAGAAACCATACCTGAACTACCTGATGGAATATCGTTCTCCTTTACCACAGAAGGGAATTGGTGAGTGGCAGCGTGTACGTTTAGTGTTACGGCGGGGTGGTGGCTTCTTTATCTTAGTGGCTGTCTGAGTCCAGAACTATTTGAAATACTGTGTGCTCTGTATAAAAGACAGTGGGTCCGATTGCCATGTCCATTCAGTTTTATGTGTGCACCACTGTTGGCTTGGCCCAGCTCACCTATATATCCCAGGTGGTACGACAGGGTCACAGCCTGGCTAGGTCTCTTCCGGTTGGCCGAGCATGGGCTGGCAGCTTAACTCTTGCATCTCCTGTCAAGGTGGTCAAGGTGGCCAAGGTGGAGGGGAGCCTTGTCTGGATTTAGAGGTGCA